ATATACAGTATATTTGTTCTCAAATCATTGTCTTAGGACCAAGTGCATTTGACTCCCTGCTGACTTTTGATGGAAACTTTGTATATCTGAATAATTCTTGAGACCAACTGAACAAAAATGTCTGCATTAGGGACTGGGAATTTGAATCTTAACACCTTAGGACCAAGTGCATTTGACTCCCTGCTGACTTTTGATGGAAACTTTGTATATCTGAATGATTCTTGAGACCAACTGAACAAAAATGTCTGCATTAGGGACTGGGAATTTGAATCTTAACACTTGCCCTTGAATCTGCTATGCACCCTAATGATTGAAAATTACAAACTACTCCTAGCGATATTCATAGAAATATGTGGTAAAGTGATCTGCTCATTTTGATATCACTTGATATATCCCTCAAATGCTATGAGAAATTAGTTTTTCTTTTACATTGAATTTAACATCTGATTAATGCATAAGTAAAATTTTCTAACTTTATTGCAGAAAAATATATCTCATGTTACAGTTCAGTTAGTAAGTTAATGATTCATGAACTAAATAATTTATAAAATATGAATCATAATTCTAATAGAGTTGGCTTTATGTTTGAAACCTCTCTCTGTTTTTTGAACCCTTCAAGAAAGGTTCTTTTTTTGTCAGAAAGCTCCTGAGGGAGAAATAATTAGGAGAATGTTTTCTCTCTCACTAGAAAACAAAAGAAAGGGATCAAACAGCGGTGATAAAATCCAGTAGATAAAGATAAGTAAATCCTAAATTTATTATGGTAAATATTACCAAATTCCTGGGAAGTTTATGAAGCCAAAGACAATAGAATGTTTCCTTCTGAGCCAGCTCCCCCCTACTAGGAATTCTCTAAGAAGAATAACATTTACTTTTGGATTAAAACAAAAAAAAGATACTGGCAGTAATATTACTAAATCAACATTGATGATGTTCGTGGAGTGTTGAAAATATCAGAGATATTAACATATATGGCATATGGCAGCTATTGTTATCTTCAGTGACGGAGTTCGGATGTGTTGCTCCCTCTAAAACTCGTGGAAATTTGATCTCCAATGTGGCAGTGTTGGAAACTGATTGAGTCATGGGGGTGGATCCCTGATGAATGGATTAATGCTCTCCCTGGGGGAGGAAGGGTACTGAGTTCTCGCTCTATTATTTCTCATGAGAGCTGGTTATTTAAAAGACTCTGGCACCCTCTCTCTCTCTCTTGCTTCCTCTCGCCATGTGATCGGCCTGTACCCCCTGGCTGCCTGCCGCTTTCTGCCATGAGTAGAAGCAGCCTGAGGCCCATGCCAGATGCAACTGTTCCAGAATCGTAAGCCAAATAAACCTCTTTTCCTTCTAAGTTACCCAGTCTCAGGTATTCTGTTATAGCAACACAAAACGGACTAAAACATTCAGGTTACATTTTACAGACACAGTACTTTTAACATTAAAAAGAAGCTTTTATGTGATGCTAATGTTGTTAAGCATCTCAAGGAAGAAACACTGATACAAAAGGCTATGACTTGTTAAGAAATCAAACAAATCGTCCTTGGTGCTGATAATAAATAGGTCAACAAGACAAAATAGACAAAATATAACTAGACTCCAGCAACATTTATTCAAGAGCACTTTTTATTTTCTATGGGAAAATTATAGACATTTGGAGAAGACACAAAGTAAATTAAATTCATGCTTACCTCACCAAACTTCAGTAATAGAACTGTGCTCAAGTAATTAATTTGTGCCAACAGACATAGACTTTTGTACTTACACGTTGCAAGGGCCTACTGTCAACTATTTCCTATTAAATTATTATTTAACTTGGATGAACATAGAAAATTATTTTTTAACAAAAATTTGGAAGAGTATATTTTACAGCAGATTAAAAATAATAAATAATGGGCAAAATTTAACAAGATGATGTATTAGTTATCTCTTTCTTACTGTGTGTAAAGCTCTTTTACCTGCCTGTAATCGTGCCAACTGGGCCAATTGTCAGGGTAGGGCTAATGTTGGAATCCTGCTGACATCGCCAATTGTAGGGCTAAGGCTGGGTCTGGAGCTCACAGACCCCTCAAGCGCATTCTCCAGGCTGGGTCAGCAGACCCCTCACAAGCCAGGCTGGGTCACCAGACACCTTACATGCCAAGATGGGTCACCAGACCCCCTACATGCAGGTCTATGAGCTAGGTAACTGGTAAACAGGTCTTTGGAAGCTGTAGGTTGAAAAGCATGGCCGCTCGGAGTGACATCCACCCAAGGCAGTCACCAGCCAAGATGGTGGCACCACACATGTGCACCAACTCCACCCCCCCACACACACACAATTTGTTTACTGAACTACACTCAACTGACATGGAGGTGAGGGGACCCTGATTAAATTATTCTATTTTCCCAGCACCGTGTAAGAAGGTAGTAGCCAAAACTACACACATTTCTTAATTACACATGATTTGAGTCAGGGATTTGCTTCATCTTTGTATCAGGGTAGGGCTGCCAGGTAAAATACAAGCTACCAGCTAAATTTGAACTTCAGATAGACAACTTTTTTTGGTATGGTTGTTCCAAATATCTTATGGCACACGCTTATATTAAAAATTTATTCTTTGGGCCGGCCCGGTGGCGCACTGCTCCCCCGAGGGTTCGGATCCCACATACAGACCGGCCACTCACTGGCTGAGCGAGGTGCGGGCGTGACACCGAGGGTTGCGATCCCATTGCCGGTCCCGGTCCAGTACGGGCGCAACACTGAGGGTTGCGATCCGTTGCCGGTCACGAAAAAAGACAAAAAAAAGGAAAAAAAAAAATTTATTCTTTGTTTATTTAACGTTCAAATTTGACTGGGCATTTGTTTTTTATTTTTTTTTTTATTGTTTTCTAAATCTGGCAACCCTACTTTATGGTCTTGTACATGACTGCAATCAAGGTTTAAGCCAGTGATAAGGTTTCTTCTGAAAGCTTGACTTTCAAGATCTGCTTCTAAGCTATGTGGTTGTTGGCAGAATTCAGTTCATTACAGATTGTTGAACCAAGACCTACAGTACCATCCTGGGTGTTGGCCTTAGGTCACCCTCAGTTCCTTGCCAACTTGGCCTCTGCAACAGATGATAGTTAATAGGAATGCATGGGAGGTTCTTTGCGAGGAGCCTCTCTAATCAACTGCATAACTTCACAAGAGGTTGAGGAAGGCTATGAAAAATATTTAGAGATTCCCCCCCCCAGGGACAATTTTAAGATAATTTATCAATTATCCACAAAGGAAAAAATTATCTTTCTCCATTCTTCTGAGTAGACCACAACCATAATATTATGTTCTTCTGAGGATTGTGCTTTATAAGCAGTATTAATAAACTGGAAATAGCCGGATTGGTAAAGAATCTACAAAATACATGATTTCCTTCTGAGAATAGTGGAAATTTTTGTCAGGGTTTCTTAAGGATAGAAGACTCAGAGGTAACATGATAAATATTCTCAATTCTCAAATAGGTAGTCATATGGAAAAGAAATTGAAAAGTTACTGTGGGGCTTTAAAAGGAAGAAAAAATAAGCAGATGGAAACTATTGAAAGGAAAATTTCAACCTAAATTATGGAAGACTTCTTTAATATATCTAGCTCAAGATGAAATAGAATACATGGAGAAGTAATTCTATTAAAATCAATACTTGTATCCAAATTTATAAAGAATAATTATTTGATGAAATTTTTATAGAAATTTAGATTAGTGTTTGGACTAAATAACTTTTAAGATTTTTTAAAACTCTGACATTCTTTTATGCTAGATAATCTCTGCAGTAGACAAGAAAAAAATTAATGATTAAAATAAGGAAGAAATACTTTGAGGGTGCAAAATAAAGTTACCCACATAGGAAAAAACAGAAAAAGAAGTGTTGGGTCCGCCACCAGCAGCCGACCTGTACAGCCCTAGCCTCGTTCCTTTCAGTGGGCGAGCGAACGGCCCAGGATTCCTCTTTCCCTCTGGTCTCCTCTTGAAGGAGACAGGGGAAGAGAGCCGTGAAGAGAGGTGAGCACACCACCGGCCCAAACCAGCCAGTTAAAGGACACTCAGACACGGTGGGGGTTCTGTCAAGCAGTTCCGTTTATTAACACACAAGCATTGGCTCCTGACATTGGTTTGGGTCCAGCTGCATGGCCAGGGAAGAAGCCCAAGACTGCTGTGGCAATATGTCAAAAAGATAACCCTCCCTTCCTGTGAGAGAATCTGGTAGGCCAGCTAACATCTCACAGTGGCAGAGGCTCACCGCCGGCAGGAGGGTAAACAGAAACGTCCACCCCAGGGCTGCAGGCGCATGAGCAGAGAGCATAACAGGAGAGCTGCAGGAGGCTCCCAGCCTGGGAGTGGCCCTGGCTTGTCAGGGGCTCAGGCCCACCAGGTCCTGAGACTTGCTACTTGTGGGGTGCTGTGCCAGGCTGGCTGGGGAGAACTGGCCTCTGGTCCTCCCACGAGCAGCAACAGAGGGGGGAAGGAGGTACCCGCACATGGTGTGCCAAGAGACGTGGGCATGGGGCACTGGCCCCCTCGTGCCCCTCCTAGAGTCAAGAGCTCACCCCACTGCACAGGCTGACTAGTCACAAGGATCCTGAGCACAGCCACTAAGGAAGAAAAGCCCAGCTGGTCCTCGAGGCCTCCTGGCCTTCTACCTGCCCTCCAGGTGCTCAGCAGGCGCAGCCCCGCCCACACTTCCATGCCCCGCCCCCCCAGCACTGAGGGGAGAAGAGAACACGGCCTGCAACAAGCAACTGTGCACCCCTCCCTAAGCCCCCAGCTCCAGCCAGGCCTGGCGCAGTCAGAGGCCACGTGGCCACCCTGAGATGGAGGAACCATGGGGGCAGGAACAGCTTGGGGACAGGGGGGGAGGGGGGGAGGGGGGGGAGAGGAAGGGCCGCATGCTGAGGACAGGTGTGCAGGCGGGAGGGGCCGGGGCAGCCAGAGGCAGAGAAGAGAGAGAGAGAGTGAGAGCTGGGGACCAAACACGAGACATTCCGTGTGTACCTCAGGACCTCCGACAAAGAGGAGTCGCTGTCATCAGACCTGGGGAGGGCAGAAAATTAGCTGGATTAGGGGAGAAAGGAAAACACGCACACAGGGCCGGAGAGGCAGAGCAGCATCGGGAGGTCAGAGGGTGGGTTATTCTCTTGGAGGGCAGCAGAGAGGCAGAGGGTGAGGACCTTCCAGGCAGAACAGGAAAGGAGGTGGGGGAGGGCTGGCCTGGGAGCTGGAGGCTCCCTTGGGAGCGGGCCACCACGGGGTCCCTCGGCTAGTAGGGAAGGACTGAGGAGGGGGCTGCAGAGACGTGGGAGCGCCAGCCCCATGCTTGGAGAGGTGGTTTCTGGGCTGTTTCCTGGTTCCAAGTTCTCTGGTTGTCCCATCACACCTGCCCCACCTTAGCAATGCCTGCCTTTACCTGTCCCGAGACTGAAGGAAGCCATGTCTGCTCCTACTGCTCCCTGGGAGCTGGCTTCTTCCAGCAATTCCTCAGGGGTTCACTTATTTACAAAGCCCACTGTCCCCAGGGAGCCCACTGGCACTGTGCCTAGTAGCCGGCTCTATACTACGCACAGGCTCCACTGGACAGGACCAAGGCCTTTGGGAGACCAGCAGGCTGGAATGGGTGGAGTCCCACACCAATCCTTCCAAAAAATCGACCTGTTGATTTAAGAGCATGGGGGAGGGGAGCACTCTGATGGGGGTGGGCCAGGCTTGGTCCCCCAGTGGGAGCCTGCACTGACATAGGTTTGGGGAAGGAGGGTGCTGGGGTCCAGGTGTGCTGGGCTCTGACCCCCGGGCTCAGCATTCATCGAGCAGTATTTGACTTAGCACCTTCTAGCCTGGGGCTCCTCTGAAGGACACAGCACCGTCATCCCTCACGGTAGGAAAGTTTTTAGGGAGCCAAGAGAGGAGCCCTCTTGGGGCCTGCAGAGAGTTAAAGAGGGCCAGGGCGGGCCCAGGAGTTTGGGGGAGCACAGAGAAGAACACTCTCCCAACGCAGAGTCCCACTGTCAGGAACACAGTGCCCCGGGGGACAGAAGCCCTAGGCTCTGGGCCCAACTCCACCCCTTTGAGCTGAATGTCCTCGGGCCCCTCTCTCTGAACCTCATTTCCTCTCATGTAAACTAGGGAAGACAATTCTCATGGCTGACTTAGAGTTCTAATGAAATCACATACATGAAAGCAGGCTGTAAAGTGAGGTGAGAGTGCCTTCTGAATGCAGGGGATTGCTGTTAGGAAAAATTACACCATCAGTAATTCCAGCATCGCACAGGAGCTATAAATATAGCTTGACCTGAAACTGCCATATGGAGGTAGTTCAGGGGTCTCTTTCTGCTGGGACAGCTCACAGGGGCCACTGGAGTCTTGTCTGAAGCCCTGCGGTGGGGTGGGGGAGTGGTCGAAGTTGAAGAAAGGGGCTTCAGAGAAGAATCAAAGAATCAGCAGAGGCGGATGAGAGGGCAGTTCTGGGGAGCCCTCTGTGTGCCTGCCCAACCTGACAGCCCCAGCCGCAACCCCTGCAGCTTCTTGTGCGCCCTCTCTGAGGTCGCAGCATGCCATGCCAGGGGAAGGGAAGGGCCACGGTCAGTACAGAAAAGGCAGAGATGCCAGGAAAGAAGTGCCAGGGCCTCATCTCTCAGAGGGTCTGCCCGGCCGCCCCAGCCCCGCTTCGGCCAGGACCAGCCCACAGGCTCCCTCTCCCTCCCCTGCTCCCCTCAGCACTGCTCTTACTTGTCCAGCGCTGACCCCTGGCTCTGATTACTGGTGAGCCGAGAGAAGACATTGCGGTCATTGCGTGGTCTAGTGGGAGGGGACGACGGGGGCGTGAATCCCACATCTGTGGACCTGGTGAGTGGGGATGGAGAGCAGCGTGTCAGCGACCACACCTGGCACTGGCTTCCACCCTCTGCCTGGGTGTGAGGCCTGCAGGGCAGGTCCTGCTGTACAGCAATCACAGAGCTCCACCCCCTATTCAGCTCCTAGACACTGTTCGTAAAATTTGATCCTCATTATTCACAGATTCTGTTTTTGGGAATTCACCTACTCATTAAAACGTATCTGTAATCCCCAAATCAATACCTATGGTGCTTTTGCAGTCATTCTCAGACACGTGCAGAGCAGCACAAACTTTGAGCAGCTCGATGTGCGCGTCCCCAGCGCAGACTGAGCCAGGAGACAATCTGCCTTCTTGCTCTAGCTCTCACACTGGAAATAAGTATCCTTTCCATAAATTATTTAGTGCCCCCCCTTGCATATTTGTGCATTTTGTTAGTGATTTCACTGTTTTAAATGGCCCCCAAGCATAGTGGAAGTGCTGTCTGGTGCTCCTAAATGCAAGAAGGCTGTGATGTACCTTACAGAGAAAACACAGGAGGAGCTTCATTCAGGGGTGAGTTCTAGGACTGTTGGCCATGAGTTCGATGTTAACAAATCAACAATGTATATTAAATAAGGTGTCTTTAAATAGAAACACACAAGTTAGATATTGATTGGTTGATAGAAACACCAAGACCAGAGGCTCAAAGGAACCTAACCCGGTATTTCCCCTAGGAGCAGTGTTTCAGTATTCAGTAATTTAGTGTTTGCGGCAACTTTGCAGAACATTACCACTGCAAATAATGAGAACCAACTGTACTTCCAGGGATGAGTCTAAGATCTTGATGAACTGCTTGTTTCAACACTCCAAGATCCCTCTCTTTGGAAAGATGTCATTAAGTTCATCTTTAAATTCTCCTTCCATCATGAGTTGGGCCTAAATCCCTCAGACTGCAACTTAAGCACATCCTCTCAGTTCACAGATGAAGTCTACAAGTGTCCTTGTAGTCTACAAGTCTACAAATGTCCTTGCAACTCCTTCCCACCAAGGCCACACTGCCCAGGCTTTGGAGAAGAGGAGGGCTGGGAGCTTGAGCAAGTCCTCCTCCTGCCTCTCACCAAGGCAGGTGGCAAGAGGTAGCCCCAATCTCCCGCTTTCCCGCTATTTAGCTGTGTGACCTGGGGAAGACCACCAAACCTCTGAGAATTACGTGCATGGACCAGATGACCCTGAGAGTCATCCTGCTATCTACAGAAGCTCTGTGGGGCCCAGCCCCAAGTGTGGCTGAACAGCTGGAGACTTCCCTGCCGATCTGCATTGATCTGTCTGGTTCTTCTTTGAACTTCTGTATTCCTCTCACATGACTAGGACTTAAAAAGAGCTGAAGCTCTCAAGAACCCAAGGTCATGAAAAGGGGTGAAACACATTAGAATAATGACCAGTCCAAGCCACCTATGTTGAGTGCACATCAGCAAACAGTTTTTAGCATCTGGCTTGGCTACCTAGCTCATGGTGCCTTACGGAGATGGCATCTCCCAAGTCCACACCTGATAGGGTGAAGAAGGGACCATTGGGTAAAACAGAGTGACTCACTCAAACTGGCCCAGATTAAAAAGTGTGCACGGCAATCCACAGAGTGGAACATCACAGCCTTTCATGCACCCAAAGACTAGACCGGCCATGATTCTGGAGCACTACAGAACATGCTCTCAGGCCGGCCCGGTGGCGCACTGGATAGTGCGCCGCTTGGGAAGCACGGCGGCACTCCCACCCGAGGGTTCGGATCCCACATACAGACCGGTTCCCACTCACTGGCTGAGTGAGGCGCGGGAGCAACACCA